TTTTGCTGAAGTATCTAAGATCTATTTAGCAAATATAGAAGATAGAAGAACGATTTTGCTCAATATCTAAAAATTTAGATAAATGCAAATTTGAAAATAATTTTATTAAATTATTAAAATAATTATATAAAACGCTCAAACTAGTTGCTAGAATATCAAAACTATTTACACCATTGCTCATCACATTCAAGTTTTCTACATAATTACTTTGATGGTCAAACAAAATTATTTTCAAATCTGCATTTATCTAAATTTTTAGATATTGAGCAAAATCGTTCTTCTTCTTGTATTCTTTTGATGTATATAAATTATATAAAGATGCGCGTGCAACCAGATACTTGAAAACAGCTTTAGCTGAGTTCGGGAAAAGCTGACAAAGTACAGACTGAAAAGTATCCTACGGCGATCGACAAGCACAAAGGTCTCCGAAACTTCGCACCAGCCCGCAACCGGTGAAACTTTATTTCTCCTACTAGTATTTGCGGACAGTTTCCGGCAAATAGGTTTGCCGGTTTATTTGGGATTTTGTTCACGCATACACGCGAACGAGAACAGAAACGTCTGTGATGGAAAGCGAGTGCGTGAGAGAACGACCGGAAGGAATGTGTGGGCGTTTACTCATGAACGAGGTTCACGAAAAAGGTGGTTGCTGGCAGAACAGAAAGCGCTTGTAGGTTCAAAAAGAATGGCAAAATACGAGAAGTTGGGACACGCGCCGAGAGAAGGGTGGATTTTGTCGTGACTGTTCGCGATTGCCTGAGAAAAAGACTAGGATAAAAGAAGAAACTTTCGAGGGTAGAAAAAAAAGAGGGAAATCGTGGTAATCGCAAGGTAGAGACTGCTGGACGTGAAAGTACGCGGGAAAGGAAGGGAAAAGGAAGAATTCGTTAATTAAAGTATGGAGCGGCAGTAACAGTAGCTGAACGTTAAAAAAAGTCGAGCACTGGAGGGAGGAATGGAGAAAAGGACAAAGATAGAAAAGAGAAAATAGAAATAAGAAAAGTTGCGCAAAGGAGTCATATTTGTGAATTAAAGAGAAGCAGGTCCGCGTTAGAAGTACCTTTGAAAAATTGAGAGAGAATGTCGGCCATTCTTTAAGGAATAAAAATGAGAAGAGGTGGAAGCGTTCAAGCATAGAGTAAAGATTGAAATGGAAATAAACCTAGGGAACGATGGAGAAGTTCAAGAGGGAGTTTTCATGGTCGCAAAAGAAGCTGAACATGTTCGTAAGTTAAACAAGAAGATGGAAGAAACTTGCGAAAGAGAAACTTACTACTTATTGACTAAAAAATCGAGAAAGTTAAAGAAGAGAAAAATCGCATGCAAATGAAAAGATTATCACGATACTAAGGACGAGCATGAATCTTTTTAAAAAACGAATGCAGTAGAAATAAATATATGAATCAGATGAATAGACATGCATATTAATACTTTTGTTAAAAATTTGTATTGAATTTATAACATATTCAAGTGTTAATTTAACATTATATGATTGTAATTTAAATACCTGGCATTAAATTAACAATTTTTTAATGTTAAAATAACATAATTTATGAGTAAATTAACAATTATCACATATATTTTAAACGTAAATTCTAGAATAAATGAATAGAATGTATTAATTCAACATACTATAAATATTAATTTCACTGAAGAAATATGCTTTCACAATTTGCTTACAAATAGTATCAGTTACATTCTTTATATTTTTTTATATTATATACATATACAGAGTATCTTAGGATTTAATAAATAAATTACGAGAATATAAGTAAAAATAAGAAAAAAATATTATATAAAGTTTGACTAGAAATGCTTCATTATAAAGTTATAAACATATAATAAAACGGAATATTTTGGAACATTGGCATTTTAATGACGATTATTATTTCACGACAATAAAAATCTAATCGTTTAACACCTGTTCTTTACCGTAAGTGTAACCGTTGTTTCAGGTTTCAACCAAATAAATATCATATTCACGCTTAGGTCAAAATAATACGGAATCGTTTTAAAAGTAGTAAATATATGAATATATGAGATGAACACTGTTCGACTTTTCCATACGTGTGTGATATACATACACTACCATATTCTGCACAAAAGAACATCCGTTGTTTTCTATTTCATGTTCCGATTCAATATTTATATACTTTGTATTTATATATTTAATAAAACATTTCTAGCTAAAACTTTTTTTTCTTATTTCCATTTATATAATAGATTATGCTCCCATAATTCGTCATTAAATCCTAAGACACCTTGTAATATTTGTGTTACTTTCTAACTATTCATCTTGTGTTAAATTAATACAAAAATTTGTAAAACCAAAATTAAAATTTGGCACACGTAAAATATGTTAAATTTAACACAAATTTCCCAACTGTATATTATAAACTTTGATAATAAATATGTCGTATTGGAAATAATATGGAATATAATCGAAGAGACAATAAATTTCTACAGTAGGACAGTTGAAACGGTTGGCAGATGATATTAAATGAAGCGCACGAATAAACTGCACGCGTAGTAAAATAAATGTTTTCGTTGTCAGCAAAACAGCATTATGCAAAACGACGGTTCAATAAATTTTGGGAAACAATAGGAATGATAAATAGACATTGTATCCATGTCAAGCGAATCATTATATGAGTAGCGGTATATTTAAACAGTATTAACACGATCCGAAAACAGAATGAAAAATTAAGAGACGATCGTATAAATTGCTTAACCATAAGAGCAACGTGAATAATAAATAACTGTTATTAATTGATAATCCGATGATTAAATAATGAGACTAATTTTACTTAAAAAGAAATCATGATTATGATAAAATTTTCTTTTATTTTTAAGAAAATTTTCTTTTCTTTTATTCATTATAAAATGAAGTCTCTCCAGCATTAAAATAGTAAATGCAATATACTCGTTCAGAGTATAAAAATAAATAAAAATAAAAGATAATAAAATAAAATCAATTTTATCATTTTGTCACTTTCCTAGTGTATTATAAACTAAATTTCTCGTGTTGTATTTAAAGCAAGGAAAGATTAATATTAGTAGGAAAGCTCCATAAACTGAATGTTAATTAAAAATAAATGACATTGTTAAAACAGGCACATTCATCTCTACAAAGAACAAGGTCAAACTGTAAAAAAGTGTCGGGGTAAAAGAATCGTCGCCCGTTCTTATAAATTATCGTAGGCTCTCCGCGTGGGGACAGGTGCATAAAATGCACACAAAGGAGAGCAAATATTTAACGGAACTGCATGGAGAGGCGGGACGGCTCAATAAGTTTGAAAGACAAAAGGGTGATAAATTGTTATTGTACTCGTAGAATAAAGTCACCGTTGTACGAACAGGTGCGAACGAGGACGATCGATTCTCCTTGGCATTATTGTGCGAGACGCATAAGAGCTGAAACGCATATTTCACTTTGACGTCACCAACATGGTCGCATCGGCAGATCCGAATGCAATTGCATCACGCAACGTAGTCGGCTGAATAAAGTCCGAGAGGCGGAATGATAAATTGTCGTCCCCGTGTTGAGTGAATCCGGTGTTTCAGCTGTGCGCGCGCGAACGCTAGGTGCTTTTCCTACGGCGATTTTCTAGATAAGCGATACGAATAAAATAAGTACATCGATGTCGGATGGTCGAGAATTTTCGCACCATCTGACATGACGTGCTTCACGTGCGTCAATTATGGAAAATACTCTGTCGCGCGTACACCGAAGAAATCGACGAATTGCGAACAATTGTTTAAGTATTAGTTGATTACAAAAAATTACTATGTATTTTAATTTAATATAAGTTGAATTTATCAAAAGAAAAAAAAATATAATTATGTGAAGTATAGAACAATACATGTATTATGTATTTTATGGATTTTATATATATATATATATATATAATAATTAAGTGTATGTACGAATAATTTTTTTTAATAAGAGCTATTTTGTTCAAAAGAAAATCTATAATAATTTAAACAAAAATTATAAATTATTTTTAAAATGTTTTAAATGACAGTTTTCTTTTGATAATACTGTATCTATTTTATTTTGTAAGGTATGTTGACTAATAGAAATTACACACTTTATTATATTCTATTGAATTTGTCAAATACTTTATAAAAAAAATATGTAAAATATTTGGCAAAACTGCAATAAAATGTTTTAATCTATCTGAAAATAAAACTATTATTTAAAACATTTAAAAAATAATATAAAAACTCTATTTAAGCTATTATATAGATCTTTTTAAACAAAATAATATTTATGCCACAAAAATGATACATATTTAATTAAAAAAACTAATTGATACATACACTTAACTATATTTAACTGTATATAATTATTTTACACACACACATACACACAACATACATATATAAATAGAAAAAGTTGAATATGTGTAAAGTCTATGTATTCAATTATAGAAAACTTTAAAGATAATGCTTGAACCATTAATTGTAAGTTATTTTAGCGAATTATTAAGTTTTCTTTCTTACATATAAAACACTTGTAAGTAGTTTACCTTCCTGATTGTTTCCAAGATTTATCAACTCGCCGTCTTCCCTCCTCCAGGTGATGTTTGGTGTCGGTGACCCTGTTGCTTCACAACGCAGCGAAACGTTACTGCCCTCTCTCACTACCATGTCTGTACTCGTAGGATAATCCAAAATATCCGGCGGAACTGTCGGATGAAAATTTTGATCAGAGATGTTACATACATTTGTTCGAGCGATTCACGTATTGCGCTGTTTTATAAAAATAATACAAGAATGGGGAAATACCTGGGAATCATAAAAAAAAAATAAAAAAAAAATGATACGTGAGTGCGCAATGTTCAGAGAGAAAAAGGGAGAAAGAGAATCGACGACGAGAAATTCTGGAATGCCAACTTCCATTTCGCGAAATACCGCGAAGCAATTTTCGATATGCTATCGTTTGGCAGTTTAAAGGCACTACAATGTATATGTATATAGAATATAGTGTATCCAGCCTCAAAAGCGATGCCATGGGCCAAGCCGAAAAGCGAACTTGATTTCACCAGTCGTCCGTGTCCTACTATAGTTGAGCTCAACCTTCGAAACAAACGCAAATTTTACAAAAAAATAAAGATTCTCTCTCTCTCTTTCATTGTAACATACGGCCTCCGAATTTTTACCACGATAATTCGACACATGGGGCACAATGGACGAACCTACAACCTCCAAATAACCAATCTGACTCTTCATCGGGTCAGTGTTTATCTGACACATGTAGTTCCCTCGATCGCTCTCACGGACATCACGTATATGTAACAGCCACGTTTTGTGCTCGCTGTGCGTGACGCCGATTCTGTGATTCTTCGTTATCACGTGATTGGCTATCGTCAGGATGGTTTGCGTGTCCACCCGCAGCCATGCCACCTGAAACAGAAAGCCGGTACGCCGCTTCAATCGTCTGGAACCCATCCATCACTTCAGCCTTTTGTTTTCCCGACCGGTGACCGGTGTTATGTGACACCGCGAAAACGCGTGTAATTCGTTCCCGCTTCGGAGTAATTAGAACTTTCTGATGCTGAAAATATTTCATAATGTAAAAATTATAATTTCGATTTTATTATCGTTGCATAAATTCTTCTCTCCTCCTTCTTCTGTGAACGCGGAGTACTTTGAATCAAGACCCGCAATTAAAGTGATATTACATTTTCATAGTATTGTAATCATTCATGCCTAAATCACAACATTTAACGCATATAATCTTTGAAAAATTGGAACTCTTTCGCCATCTTGTTCCTTTTTATTGACTGCGTTTAATAGACTCAACAGTTGAGTGAGCACTCGCTGCTATTGATGTATTCTTCTAGATCTAAAATTCTGATTGCAACAGTATATAAAAAGAGAAATATAATTTTATTATACAGTCTACATAACTGTCTATCGTTATAGTTGAGTTCAGTAAAAACATCAATATCACGAATTGCACAATAAGTGCTGCTCTTTAATTCCTTTTCTTGTTGAGGAAAATAAAGAAAACAAACCGATTCTCGAAGGGACTCAGACATCAGGAAACAATTTTAAATATTTTTTAATAAATTAAATATATTTTTTCGTATTAAAACTTAAATATATTAATAAATCTTTGTTTGAAATTGTTGCCTTTTTGACACATCAGAAATCATATAACAGACTCTGAAATACTATACTCTAGAAATACTATATAAAGACAAGATAAAAATGTAAAGATATAAATTGTATATTATAAGCCGACAGTTATCCCAAGAGACAAGGAAATAAATAAATTAAATAAATAAATAAACAATATTAAGAATTTTTATTTTAGCGTATGTGAGAAACACAATCAATATTAGAAATTTGAAATGCCTATATGGTCGAAGCTGGATCTTCATTGCTTTTAATAATTCAATCTTGAATTACTAATATACACTATATATGTACTTGCATTTATACCATATTGTAATCTTTTCGAATTGCACAAATTGTTTTTCCGGACTTATAAACGCAATTAAAATTACTTTAATAATCGCAAAAATAAATTGACAAGCAATTTTAATAATTTGATGCTACCATCAAGCATCATATTATAAAGATGTTAATATGTTGAAACTGTTAATAAATTTATTGTGAAAAATATTACCAGCATCAGAACTTGAACCCGGATCTCTTGCATTCCATACGAGTGCGTCCTAAGCCATTAGATCACCTTAGTAATATTAGAGGCCTTAGTAATATTAATTTCAACATATTAACATCTTTATAATATGATGCTTGATGGTAGCATCAAATTATTAAAATTGCTTGTCAATTTATTTTTGTGATTACTAAAGTAGTTTTAATTGCGTTTATAAATCTGGAAAAACAATTCGGTGCCCAATTCAAAGACTACAATATATAATAGTATATATGCAAGTATATATGCAAGTATTATATATATAGCGAAATATATTAGTAATTCCAGATTGAACTATTTAAATAAAGATCCAGTTTCGACCGTAATAGGCATTTTAAATTTCTAATATTAATAAATAAATAAAAAGTAATTAATGAATATAACTGTTAAATATTTAAAAAATTAGAAACAAAGAAACTAGATTAGTCTGGAAAACAAAATTGTACATTGACCCAATAAATGTAGGTCAAGTAATGTGGTGACGTGGAAATTAACTACCCTATCCACAAATCGCAGTTGGACATTGTTGCTATTCAAATGTTTCTGCATAGCGTTATTGTGAGGCATACTACAATCGGTAAATGCGGCTTTGTTGGCATTGAATTGCGGACTAGCAGGCTTAGGAGTTATCTATTGATGGATGACGTAATGACTTTAATGACAAAGCGTCATTGGATCCTCAAATCCGACGAGTTTCCATCGGATGAGTCCTACCATCGAACACTTTGTCGATCTACAATTGCACGTGCATTTTGTATGAAGCTAGAATTGTCGTACGTATACAATGACGATTCAGTGCGTTGTCTATTCCTTTATCTAGATGACAATGTCTGATTCTGTTTCAAAGATGACACGTACGCAGAGTAAGTCATCTTCAGACATTTTAAAATTTAAAAGATGTCTTGATCTATGAATTGTTGGAAAAACCGTAACGATATCCATACAACTTCTATGTTCCATTTTATAGTCATTTGTTGTTTTAATATTTTGCCAGCGAGAAACTTAATTAACGCTGCCAGCGTAAAACTTAATTATTAATTAAATAGAAAGAGAAGAATAAACATATTATCAAATTCAATCTCGAAACAATATAGAATATGCAGTCCAATGTCTCCTCATAACACTTTTCAATAAAATATATATTATAGTAACACACAAAATTGCTTAAAAATTGAAATCACTTATCAGATATTCTATATTATAATATCTACTAATCACCTGCAAGGAGTCTAAACTAATATAAAATGATCGAATTTTTAAAAGCTTATTCTAGCTTTTATATACATAAAGTACGATTGAATCTTTTAATAACTATTGAAGACATAACTTAACGCTCAATAACCTTATTCATTTGTTCATAAAATTTTGTATTGACAGAGTTTTATAAAAATAATGTTAATGAAAGCGTAGTTTTCCTATTATTCAAAGTGCATTTGTTAGAAGAAAAGACATAAAGTCAAACAAATTGAATTTTACAAATTAATATTATGAAAAATTGGAACTGTCCGATATTTATTACAAATATCAATTTTCAATCTACAAATTTAATAGGTTTTTAAAAATATTTTTATTCGTGCGCTTAGCCAGATATGCCTGTTGCAAAATATCAAAATAGTAACCCATCGCAGCGAAGTATTAATTGCATCGTGATCGAAATAATAAAAAATATTAGAATATCAAATGTGTGTATGTTCGTGTGTGTTAACTGAGAGTAAACATTTTTAGGCTATATTACATTTAAATTGACTATGCCATGTACATTCTAATCAATAAATGTTGCATAGTTGATAGCATACACAATTTATATACTTCAAAAGATAATTTAATAAAACTCTTTTTAAAAATTTTCAACATCTTTAGAATATTAAAGACATATTTCCAAAGACATCTTAAAAAAAACTTTGGAGTGTTTTTTTTGTGTATCGTTTATTTATTTGCATAATTTCATAAATGTCGGTACTTTAATAAATGAGGATGACTTAAGAAATATTATGTGAAATTTATAAACTAAAATAAAACTATACTAAAAAGTTAGAAAAATCCTATAACCCAGTTGATATAACAATAAGGTTAGGATAAAATACCCAAGTATTGTATAAGTATATCGTACAATCTTTGAACTTACCGTTGGCATCTTGCCACCGATCAGAATTTATGTCAGCTGCTTGAGAAGGGTATAAAGAGGAACAAAACAACGTTCGATAGAATGTTTGATAGAAGAGCAATAAATTTCTTACATAAGAATGCAAGAGAGGCAATCGCGGAAGAATAATAGTTTCTCACTCGTTGAGAATAAATAAAAAAATATACATATATGTATAATTTATTTTAAATACATATTGTTACGTGTGTTTGAAGATAAAATTTAGTCTACATTCGAGTGCTCTCATCATGCGCTTTTACCGTCGATAAAATAACTACTGTTCCATCCCATTCTGATTTACGAACTGTCGTTAACGCCCAGTCAAGATAATTGCACTGAAACCTCAAGAATTCGTCCGACAAAGTCACCTCTCCTTCCCCCGTTAAGAAGCCCCCGAGAAACTATTCCGACAGACCAGGAGCAAATTCTTGCGTCTACTTACAAAATCCTCTCTTTAATCTTTCTTCGAAACCTTCCTTTACTTTGTTCCGCTGCTACCCGATATTTTTCTATTTCGCCATTACGTTTTCCTCTTTTTGTTCACCGCCAATTGGATTATCGCGACTTTACTCGATTTTCTCTTCCCTCCCCACTGGCATAGTTTAGTTTTTTCTAATTCTCTTTGAGAAGAATTATTCCACGATTCGCGCGATCCATATTTATTAATTCTTATTGTAAGGTAATATTCTTCACAATGAGTTCTTTAAATTGACAATCTTTAATTTGTAAAATTATAATTATTATTATCAATCTGATTGCGTTGCAAATTCGAAAGTAATCGCAGTCATATGTCTTAAATAAATGTATCTAAAATAAATTACATATTATTACAAATTAAAATTATTATTATTTCAATATTTATAACTTTGATCGCAGTTGGGGTTTCTTCTCACTTGATTAATTAATTCTTGTTTTTATAATCCACTATGTATCTTATAAACCGTAATATGAATTATGTACAATTTTGTGAATTTTAGAATATATTACTGAGAATATGCAACATGAAAGCTCACTTTCTGTTCTGTTTCAATTTCTATATTTTTTTTTGTTTATGATTCTTGAGAAAAATTATTACGAAGATAAACAGTTATTTCTATATGCCTAAATTTGTTTTATACTCGACAGGAATTTCAATTTTGATATTCTACGTTGAAAAGCTTCTATTATCAAAATCAGAAATAGTGCAGTAGATGAAGATATCAAGTTTACGTTAAGTTATTAGCTACTAAAGAACGAACGGTAGCTTCCGCTAATGACTGAATCATGTCCTCGAAAGTTTCACTTCTTGCCGCTAGAAAGTAATCATGCAGGCTATACCAAATTTATAAGAAAGAGATTAATGAAGACTATCAATTTGCTAATGTTTCAGGAATAGATCGGAAAATCGTTAACCGTTACACATCGAGACCAATGCACTTTTCACGCATCTTCTCACATGGATCGAATTGGTCGAAACAGTTAACGTTTGTACGCGCCTTTGTAACGCTTCTGCGAGATATTAAGAGCTATATCTGCGGCTACACGGTAACAATAGTAATATGTTCAACGTATTTAATCAAATGATTGTGCTTGTACGCTTACGCTTCAAGAGAT